AGTCCAACTTAGCCTATGTGTTCTTCCAGACTACCATCATCAAGATCCGTTCAGCCGTTTAGGCTACAAACTCTAACATCCATCCATTTAAACTTTCGCATTTATAATATTAGTAAAATATAAATTCAATTAGACTACTGTATAAAATATTTTTTTAACTTTGTTCTAATTGTCTTTGTTAACATTTTCAAACCAGGTCACATTTTAATACGATTTTCATTGTAATAAAGTAAAACAATTAAATACTCGTCATATTCAAATGCAGCTATAAACATGTTCAAACGACATTAATCGATATAATACTGAAGTTGAAAAAACCTTGAGTCATTACTTGGAAACTACTTCGTTCCAGGAAAGGTTTGCCCTGAACATCAACTGTTAATAACGATGGGTGTATTCAACCTAAAACTAACAAACAACTTTTACCAATAACAAGATAGTTGTTGGAAATATTATTATTATGATAAAGTAGCAACGCGATTGCTTTCACTAGAAATCATTTGCATTTTTATATAAAATCTGTATTTTAAATTATCGCAATTTTTTTATCTTTTGTGGCGTTGTATCTGGCATGCGAGAACTCAACTTCGTATGTCACTGATGGACGAAGTATTGTAAATAAAGTATTATTAACATATGTGTCTTTAGTGACCCCGACCCCCGTGAAGGTGTTTTTGCTTTTATATGTCAATTTGAATTCTATGTCTAATACAACTCTATGTTGATCATATTTAGAGCGTGTACACTCCAGAAACTAAAGTATCGCACACTGTTTAGTCGCGCTTTGATTCCTATGAGCTTATATGGAGGTGCTCACACTACTCGATTCTTAGTTTGAATTAGCTGCGAAACAATCGATAATCGTGCAACAGCTGTGCGATAGTTTGGTCAAAGGTGTGCGTCCGCTTTTATAGTTTAAGTATGGCCTTATTTCAGATGCTATTACGTTATGTATTTTCCGTATTCGGCCAATAAAGACACCGTCATTTTAAATGTGTAACATATTATAATAAAATACTGTAAATATGTAAGAGTATATAAAAGCATTCGCATTGGTGCTGAGTAGTGGACTATGTACGACCTAATGCCCTCTTTATAAGGCCGTGCTCCACACTCAAGTATATGTATTTAGGTTGCTATCTTATATTTAGCTTAGCGATACGTAAATTACAACGCAGAAAAAACATTTTGCCGTTTAAAAATCCCACTCAGTATCTACAGTCTAGAATGATATTTATCGCTGTTGACAGTTCAGTCTTCTTGTGTTATCTAAGAATCGATTTTCATTGACGAAACACTTTCATAAAGATACAATTTCACACATCTTAAGGTTTCTAAATGAAACCAGATTATTCAGTTTTATAATGTCTTATTTTGGCTTTAGAATTTCACGTAATTATTTTCTGTCTTTCGTTTTTCTACAATTTTTCTATCTACGGGTGTTAGTATGACTTCTGGGTGGTTTTTTAACTACATTATAACGTAAGATACGGTTTTCTTACAACCAATTGCTTTAGCTCCCGACATTTCGGCACGGTTAACATCCCAATCGTGGTAAGAAACCCGTATACTACGAACATTATATTTATAAACCACAGCACTTTAAAGTTACATAACTACATTATTTTTTTCTCTATGTGTTCAATAATTATATGGCTTTAATTAGTATTAGAAATGTAATGAATATATATTTAATTCCGCAAACCTATGTCGTTGACTGGCGTAATCTCATTAATGGTAGCACAACTATAGTTATTCACATACGCGGTTAACATTTTGATTGCGTGTGTGTAATTTAATTTTTTAAAGCGTTCCATGTTTAACGGTTTTTAATTATTACAAGACGACTTAAAAGTTATGATTTTGATCGAATAACGTTTATGTAGAAAACTCTGTATTTACTGTGTTTGTAATTTCATTATATTTCACTCATTTCTATCTACACTATTAATTTCTATATTATAATCTCATGCAGAATATCAAAAAGTTTTACGCTTAATTTAAATATTTTGATTTTTTAATGATTCCTTAACTAAATGAATCATAGAAATAAAATTATCACGTCACCTAGAAACAGTACGATAGGGAAACAATGTTAATTGGATTAAACTGGCTGATATATCCTCGAGGATATTAGAGCGGCGTTACTAATGTAATTAGCATCTAATATTTATTCAATAAGGGGGAACTGTAAGCAGGAGGAACGGTAAATTCATTTAGAATAGAAACAATGCTTTACGAGAAGCGGGAACTAGTTCAATGTAGCTGCTTAAATATAAATAAGCCCTATCTCGGATCACGGAAAGCTAAACAGATTAAGTATTATGAGAAAACAGTAGCTTTAATATAATAAAAATGATGACTATGACTCGACATTAAAAGGCTTTTTTTATTAATAGATAATTGTGCCGTACAATTGAAAATATTTTAACGATAAGAAGGAAAAATTTAATAATTGTTTGTATCTAAATACAGTACCCTTCTCGCATTTCCTTTCAAATAAGTATAATTATGTTTTACAAATAACTTTGGTATATTCGTTAATTTAATCAAAAGACAGTTCTTGAAGTTGTTGGAGTATAAAAGGGGAGCGACAATCAACAGAGTTGACGAAAAGTTACCTACATAACGATCGCACCCCGCGGCCCTACATTTCCAGAACATTCCCATACTTTCTTTACTTGGAAATTGTAAACGTCTTTAATTTAGAAACGTGCGATTGTTAGTACAATATATTTTTCCATCACAATTCTTATAACGATTTGATTCTGTTATAATAAATTCTTAGAATAGAACATTCACCATACTTTTGTGAAACAAAAGAATATTTCGTGTTTCATTTTAACTTAAAACATTGCAGTAACAAGAAGTTTAAAACATATTTTCATTTGTCTAAATTCAAAATATCTTAGAAGACGGGGAAATGAAAAAATATAAATGTTTTATTATTTTTGGTGTCAATGTAAACTTTACTAAAATAGAAATGTTAGGGAAAACAAAAAATAAAGCTGGGAGCACATTTCGCGTCAAAATAAGACCGACGAGTACTACGCATAAAGTAGACAGTCTTTTTGTAACAAATATTATGTTTTGTACTTTCCGAACTCTGTCAAACAAAGATTTTTATATTTATAGAAACAAAATTTGGATATCGCATTCAGAGATGAAGTTTCGAATTGAATACATTTTAACATAGTAACAGTTCTGTGTGATCATAACAGTGGTAGAGCCCGCTTTAACATCTTTGCACGAATGGGCCGGCTCGCCCGGTGTAATACCACGACCACGCAGAAAACAGGCGTGAAGTGGAAGCAACTCCGCGTTTCGTCTGATGAGTGTGGTGCCGAAGGCCTTATTCTTGTCCCTTTTCCTTTCCACCCTTTTCTTAAGAGGAAAGGATGGGAGGAGAAAGTAGAATTGACGGTGAAGGAGATGCATAGGAAGGGGAAATGTCCTCTTTATGTGCGTCTCCTCTTCCGTCAATTAGGGTAGGCAACGCATCTACAATAGCGGATGTTTATGGGCAGCGGTCGCTTTCCATTTCGGTGGATTCAGGTGGCCGCTTGCTCGTTTGCCTACTCGTATTATAAAAAAAAAAATCAAAGGTCACTAGTACTCTTACAAAATAACATTTTTTGTGTTACGCCAGTTTACGTAGGAACTATCGAAATATAAAAATATAGCTACTCCAATTGAGAATCCTCGAGAATCGAGGAAAAAGTACTTGCTTTTATTTTAAACTACATTCATTGATGTCCACTCATCTAGATTTTTATGAATAGACGATAGAAATCCACGAATAAAAGATGTATATTTATTTATGTGTCATCGATTTTGAGTATGTTACGAAAAAAGATGGAAGGTTATTAAGAAAGGACGCTATAGTTATTGCGGTTTTGGTTATCAATTTGTAAGTACAAATGTAAAGACAGTTTTAATGTCTTCCGACTAAACGTTTTCCGTTTACATTAAGCATAATGTATTAACAATATCAAAGTCAATAAAAAATATAAATCGGGTAAATTACAAATTGCGAATAGAAAAAGCAGACGAATCGAAGTTGAATAACTTCTATTGCTTTCGTATAATGTTCTTTCTCACGCTATCCGTATTTTTAACATCTGTTATTACGTAGCTTTCATATTTTCCGTATCGGAATAAGCGATTACCGTAACGTAGAAATCTTAATAAATCACGACATTGGTTTTGTTGGTATTTAAAAAGTTATATCTGGAAATAACGTTATTTATACACGAAACAGTTAAAATATTATTACCGATGAGTTTTTATGTGAAAAGCACAATCAAACAGAGACTTAGACCATACGCACAGTTTGACTAAACTATCGCACAACTGTCTAGTGTCTGACTAGTCTTATATGAAGGTGCACGCTACTAGATTTTAAATTGTGAAATTAAAAAGTTTAATGGACTGCGAAACAATCGACGCTCGCACAACAGTTGTGCGATAGTTTAGTCAAAGGTGTGCGCCTGCTCTTACTCGTATTAGATAGTACCTTAAACAGTAATGTTAAAATAGCCCTGCTTTAGACTGTGAGATATTGATGAGTCAAAGTTATAGATAGATTTTCTATATGGATATCTGATTTACACTGTCATCAATTCCCACAATGCGGGATTCAATCAAGGTTCGACGGTTGATAACCAATCAGAATTTATAGTTCCACAGAAGCTTATTTATAGATAAAATTGAATTAGAATGATATGACGAAAATAAAAACATATTATTAAGTTATAACAGACCAAAGAGTACCACAAAATTAATATAATAATAACGCGACCCTGGAAGTTTGGACACCCACTAACACCCAGACATCGGACGAAATATTTTATTAAGAGAGTCATTTAATACAGGGGGTTGGAAAAGTTGATATATTAATTAACTACTGAATAAGTCCGTCAAGCCGAAGAGTCACTTCGTTACACGCAAGCGCAATAAGGATCTGTCAAGTTACGCCCTTAGGTAGTGTGAAAGCGGCCTTCGTAGCGCGCGGTCGTCTGTACCCGTGTTGTTAGTGTTACTGCCGATTTTATTAGGCCAATACGTTTAAAGTGTAATGGATTCGGTACTGAAAAATATTCGTCACAGTGATAGCGTGACTTAAACAATAAAATTGTCATTACCCAGTGCATATTTGGAACTGTTTGAATTTTGCAAAAAGTTTCACGTTGTGTTATTTTTTGAGTGGTTGTGCGATGTGTTTGATAATGAACGACGAAAGTTTATGTCAGTTCACGGTGAGTGGGAATTTTTTACTTAACTTGATAAGTACGAATAATAATCTAATGAAGTTGATTACAAATAACATACTCAAATATTTTTTTATTGTAGTACAGAGCGGTAACAATAATAGTTTTATTGGGATCATGCTTATCTAAATTTTAATAAGTGGATCTTTGCATTGATTTATACGCATTTTTAAATGTAAAAATTTGAATTTACATGTATAAAAACTTTTTAAAGCCAAACATATATATACGAATATTTAAAGATATAAATTTGTGACGTTTGTCAATACAGATAACCTTAAGTGATACCCAGACTTCAGTAATTAATGTCGACTATAGAGTTTACGATAAACAATTACGTTCTTGTCAATTATTAAGGAATTGACATCATTAACGGCATTCTGGGTGTATGTTAGATTTTAAAACTCCATGTTATTAATAATAAGATACTAGATAATCTATTTTGATAGACATTTTAATTATTTCAGAATATAATGTATGTATGTAATGTAACATCATTTAGATGTAAACAAAAAGGGGAAGGAAGGTATAAAGGTATATTAAAAGTCGATATTTTTTTTATATATCTGTAGGGAATCTCAATGGATAACATATTTTGTAGATGTGTAAGTAAATGGACTGACGTTAGTTTGTTTATAATTTATTGTATCTAAGCTACTTGATATTCATCTGGCTTTCTAATAGAAGAATAATTTTTGTATTAGGACCAGTAGTTTTTAAATTTAATCGTTACATACAAAAATTCGATTCCTTCATTTTTATAATATTAGTATAGAAGTGAACATTGATGTCTTCATTTGCTGTGCTTAAGCTAGATAGGTAATAAAAGTTGATGTTACGAAAATGTCTTGTGTTTAAAATGCTTTTATACGAAACTAGCTATTGCTCGCAACTTCGTCCACGTGAATTAAAAAAATAGTGAAATTCACATCCTATGTTACGTAGCTTTTTAATGGTGAAAGAATTTTTGAAATCGGCCCAGTAGTCTGAGCTATTTCAATACAAAATTACTAATTTTTCTTCGTTATAATATCAGTATAGTTATAGATTGTTAAACTAAATGTAAATTTATTTCATAGCCTATTTCATAGTCAATGTTTTACATAAAATAAAAAGTACCTCGATTGACACGCTGGCTAGTCAAACACAAGGCTTAAGGCCGCCGACATCGCGTTCTCTTCTACGTCTACGCACATACGCGACTTAGTTACGGCCACACTTTATATTGCCGTTTTATGTTTACACATAAAACATTTGCAGAAAGACTTTGCTAAGAAAAATCAAGTAGTAACATAGACGTATTCTCTTGAGGGTGTTAATCCAACTATCTTACTAATATTATAAATGCGAAAGTTTAGATAAATGAATGGATATTTGTTAGAGTTTGTAGCCTAAACTGCTGAACGAATATCAATGAAATTTGGCCCAGATGTAGATAGTCTGGAAGAACACATAGGCTACTTTTTTTTTATTCCACGCCAGAGTCGAGGGCGAAAGCTAATGGTCCATAAAGGTGCATAGTGCATAGTGGAAATCGAAACAAAGGCATACATACATGTACATATTTATTATGATATACCGTTTGGTAATTTACACAACCTCTTTCGTTTCACGGTAATTCATGCACCATCTTTCTCGTACGTGCTTTTTAATAATTTTTTTCTTGTCTTAACTTCTGGATGACAGTCAAATGTTTTATTCAGCTAGTAATTAACTGAAATAATGCTGAGTAATTGAGTCATTAGTGGTTATACCGTTAACAATAGCGTGTTTAGTAATTAATAAGAATAATATACGTTTAAATTGTAGATCGAAGTAATTATGAAATTACAAACGTTCGTTTCGTACATTGCAACAATGGTAGGAATGTGCTACAAAGATACTCGCAAGTAGGTCATCTTACATTTACCGTGGATTTCCACTAAAATGCTTGTTTCGAAACAGGACAATATGTGTTCTCATTGTCTTTAAAATAATTGGGACAGCACTATGTTTTCATACGGATATTATTGTAGTGGACATCTGCGCGTTATGGATAAAAAATTGTAGCTAGTTTATGTTCTTTATCTATACCCAATTAAATTTAGATGTGATGTTACTTGGTAACTAACATCCATCTAAATTATTATAATATTAGTACAATATAAAATAAAAACAAGATATCATACATTATTTAATACTTAATGAATGGTTAGCAGAAAATTGTATTTAGATATTTTTTTCATTAACAAAGACAACAAAGCCTTGGGTTTCACCACACAAGGAGAAGAGGGTGGCATAGCACCACTCATAGAAGAAAAAAACACTTTATGGATGAATACAAATCGAACGTTACACGTTAAAAATCCTATCAATCGGAATGTAATAACATTCTGTCAGATATAAATGTAGTTCATAAAACTTCAATAGCAAGTGTTTTTTTAAATATTTTATTTTTATATCATACGTTTTTGCATGTTTAAAACGCAACGCTCATTAACATCACAGGTAATTCGCTTAGAAGGTTATTCGTAAACAATGACGTGGTCTAACAGACTAACGGAAGTTGACTATTTCAATGTATTGTTAAGTTATAATCTAACATCTGATATTGCTACAACTTGATTCCTATTTAATCTTATTATAATGTTTTTATATTGTCTAGATTTTATTTAAATCGATTTACGTCACTTACAAAACTTAATCCAAAATGTGTTTAAACATCCATCCCTTTTTTTACTAGTTAATTATAGGCAATGTGCAATATTCGTAATGAATAGGTAATCCTTTATACCTCCGCATAGAATAAGTATTTTTTTATTATGAAGGATTTAAAAAAGTAAACACAAAAATGCCGACAACATTTAGTAGCTAACTAACCTAAAATCACTTGTTAAAACAACACAAATAATATCTTTTGAAAGCCGCTTTTATTTTTTTTAATTAAACGTTATGAAGATAATGCCAGTCATTATAATTAAAGCGCGTAATTAGAGAACATGTTAGCTATAAAATTACAAGTCCAAAGAAAGATTGAAAGCTGAAAGAAAAATGCGTGGTTCATTAAATATTCCGTTAAGGTATAGCCATCTAGCCCTTGCCGTATAATTTTAACATCATTCAGAGCTCCTCCATTGTTGAATGGATGAATATCAAATGTAACGACTATACAGGCCTTTACTGTGCTCGAGATTCAGATTATGTCACTCCCAAATTTAGTCCAGTACGATGTAATAGTGTCCCATAAATATTTCTTTCTTTGTACAGAAAAAGGATCATTACAAAAAAGACACGTTTGAGGATATCTATATCTATACTAATATTAAAAAGAGGAAAGATTGTATTTTTGTATGTATTGGAATAACTCAAAAACCACTGGGGGCGATTTCAAAAATTCTTTCATCATTAAAAAGCTACGTTTTCTGTGAGAAACATAGGCTATATATTTTTTTATTTTATTATCTATACTGTTATAATAAAGCGTAAACACACACTTATTTGTTGCCTAAGATGTCAGCAATTACAGCATATTTTTGAATAATTCTTTTTTTAATAAAACGCCCTACACTTACGCCACGCTTTAGGCTATATATTTTCACGCCATTTAACTTAGGGGGTAAACATTTTGGATAAAAACTACAATGTGAGAAAGAGATCATAAGTTACTGTCAAATATTTTAAAATTTTCATAATTTCATGCGGATGAAGCCGCACGGGAACAGCTAGTAGCATATAACATTTACATTAGTAGTTCCTATTTAATTTGTTATTTAATATTACATTAACATTATTTTTCACCTATTGATGACTGATGAGTGATGATAGTGTTGACGGATGGTAGAGTTATTTGGAGGACGAAAACCCGATGCGCCGACTCTACGTGATTGGGATAAGGTAGAGGAGATGAGAACGTTGGTTATATTCACCGACAAAAACTTGCAGTTGTTTAAATGGACTGTCTTTGGATAGCTCCACGTTGTCGCTTTAAATTAAGTTTGTAGAGTGTCATTACGACAAGAACTCATTTCGGCAGTCACAAAACTCGCGGAGTGCAACACTTAAGTAAATCTTTCGCGTTTTTAGCAACTGCAGACTGTAGTAACTTGATTTGTGTACTGCAAAACTATAAATTAAGAAGTCAGAAGTTAATAAGTCTTAAATCTTTTGTTACAGTCCTTTTAAATTTTATTAATTAAATATAAATGTGTAAACACCCTGGCTAACATACTTTTGATTCTCCGGACAAAGATGAGAATAACGTTCATTTTATAATCAGTCGATACATTTATGAACTCATAAAATTGCATGCCAATATATTTACATACATAAACAAGTACACATACTCGTAGAAGTAGGTAATTGAAAAATAAAACATTGCAAAAATCTATTTCATTCTTGTCATTGTAATAACAAACAGCTTAAAAAAGGAAAACGATACTTGTGGTGAAAAACACTTGGTTAAATATAACCGTTAATATTGATAGCTGCTCTTTGTCAACGAACAATGACTAAACGAGGAGCAATTCCAGGATCGTTTGCGGGCTGATTGCTAATTGCCTCAACTGAATGCCTGAAGCCATACTCGAGATCTCCAATTGAATGACGCATAAAAGATGACGAATCCCTCTTTAAATGTTGATGAATTTCGTTCGTTCAATTACGACATTTATAAAGAAATACGATTGAAGTAATAGCGGTCAATTAATATATTTTTTGAAACAAATAAATGGGTCAAGTTTTTTGGGTAAACAAATGTGTATTTTTGTAAAGTACTAGCTGTTCCCATGCGGCTTCATACGCAGGAAATTATGAAAATTTTATTTTATTGCTTACATTTGTCAAATTATCAATAGCAAATGTGAAAATGACATGACATGACAAACGTTGGCAATCTTGCTTCCTTGATGTTGGTAGCAACTTATGGTCTCTTTAAAATATTTACCCCCTAAGTTTAATGGCGTGAAATATATAGTCTAAAGCGTGACATAAATGTAGGGCTTTTCAATAAAAAAGAATTATACAAAAATATGGTGTAATTCCTGACATCTTAGGTAACAAAGAAGTGTGTGTTTACGCTTTATCATAATAGTATAGATTGATATTTGACTTACCTAACATAATGGCCTAACCTAGTAATAGTTATTTTAATTTAAACATAAAATACATTTTTTTTACATTGTGCAAAAAGAAACAGCGTAAATAAACCTCAAGCTTTGACGAAATATTAAAAAGAAGAAACAGGGTTCAGTGAGGCTTGTCACGTTTTGAACAAACTCGTTCCGGTCAAGATAAGACAGATGAACCGGGTACACGGCAGACGACTTGAATGTAGAGTAAAACCTCTTTGCAGAACCGTTACTTTACGTTAGAAATTATTAGAAAGTAAAATATTGGACTTATGCTACTTCGAATCATTAATTTTTGCAACTTACTTCTTAAGTAATCTATATCTATACTATTATAATAAAGCGTAAACACACACTTCTTTGTTGCCTAAGATGTCAGCAATTACAGAGTATTTTTGAATAATTCTTTTTTTAATAAAAAGCCCTACACTTACGTTACGCTTTAGGCTATGTATTTTCAAGCCATTAAACTTAGGGGGTAAATATTTTGGATAAAACCCTAATTTGGAAAAAAGACCATAAGTTACTGCCAACATCAAGGAAGCAAAATTTCCATAGTAAGGTAATTGGCATTTTGTCATTTTTAATTGAGAATTTGATAAATGTAAACAATGAAATATTTTATTCATAATTTCATGCGGATGAAGCCGCACCGGCACACCTAGTATTAATATGCGATAGAAGTTAAAAATCGATCTTCTCGATCGATCGATAAAAGATCTACGAATCGCAATTACAATGGAAAAGCTTAAAGATCGATTCAGTTTGTAATTTATTCGATAAAAATAAATGAAACAATCTCCGGACCGTAGAAGACTTTAAAGTTCGACTCTCATTAATAGTTTAAATGGATATTTTTGTTGAGTTTGCACGCGTATTAATTTAGAATAGTGCGTAAGTTGGCTAACGAAAATTATTTCTTGATCACATTTCTATGACTTCATTTTTCCTTTACAGATTTATTTTTACTTACGTCATGTTCGATATTCTCTGTACCTAAATTATTCTCAAAAATAATTTCAATCAAGACTTTATTGATATTAAAGGTTTCTTATAATTTATGTAATAATTTGTATTACCCGATTCATCTGAATAACAATTTGGGTCGAGAAAAAAGCATAAAAGAAATATGCCTCGACCGACCCGCCAAATATATTTCGCCGTTGTTTCTATTTGAGAAGGGACGTTGAAGTGTCATACAGAGTAAATGGGGGTTCAGCAAATCCGGGTCATTGAACACTTCAAACTTTACGGCTAATGCCGGGGAAATCTCTGGAAATAGCTGTGTTATATCTTACCGAGAGAACTCCTGTCATAAACACTTCGGTGTTAAATAAAATATTGATTCAGCGTTTCGAAATATACGAATAAACGCAACAAACGTCTAGATTAAAGTAAACAATTATAAACATCCATTTGTTAAAAATATTTATACATTTTGTGTTAAGGAGGAACAATTGATGTATTATGTGCTATTTGCACTAAATGTAAATAACCTTGTGTTGTTTATTTGAGATCGTAATCTCTATTGTCTATTCGAACATACTCGTATTTACAATCACGTGTTGCCAAGATTGGCAGGCAATTTGGCTCCCGTAGAATACTGTCTATAGACTATTTATTTCAGTAGATAAAACTTATCAATCTTGAGAATAGTGGAATAGCCTATTTATTCTTTTAGAAAATGATGATAGCAATATATTTTGTACATATTTTTATGAAGATTTGTAGCGTTTTGATCAATTTAATAGATTATATGGATGTTTGTTAGAGTTTGTAACCTAAATGGCTGAACAAATTTTGATGAAATTTGGCATACATGTAGAGGATAGTCTGGAAGAACACATAGGATACTCACTTTTGTTTTTTTTTAATTCCACGCGTGAGGGGTCGCGGGCGAAAGCTAGTTATTAATAACATCAATATCAGGAATTATATTTAGACCATTTATAATTTTACGAAACAAATAATGTTGGACGATTTCGTGCGACGAAATTAACATTTTGATCATTCACCGTTCAACGGTAGAATTAACTACGGCGTAATTTGTATAATTCGATGAAGAGATTTCACGTTTCGAAAAACAGCATTTATAGACATTCATTAAATTCGTGAATCTGAGCTGTGATTGAAAATGACGAGAATCTTGTTTTAAAATTAACTCGACCTCTGCTTACAATTTCGCGCACAATAATTTTCAACAGAAATTGCCAGCTTACAATTTCATAAATGCAAACATAATTCACTCTTTCTGTAATAACTGGCATCGATATATTCGAATTATACGATGTACAAAAATAATACAAAATATTGCTTAAGTATCTCTGTGCAGGATAGAATAGTGAAAAAAAATAATTTTCAAGTTTAAGGGCCTGTCCCACAATTCTTGTAAATTGTCAGATAACAATCCAACGAATAAAATATGTGATGGAAATATTGGTTTTTGGTACTCTATTTGACAGCGACATCACTTTTAAGCTATCTGATCCTCTATCTGCCAGTGGTGGAACAGACCCTTAATATTTTTTGTAGTTTATCGTCATTATTTGTTTTTGAACTAGCACTAGCCTCTCCTTACAAGTTAATACAATTTAATCGCAATCAATTAAACGGTAAAGTACAAAAATCGGTGTTTTTTCATAATTCGATCACAATAAGAATTTATTTTTAAACAGATATTTACAGTGAAATAATTTGTTACAGATTTGGACAGCGAACGAAGACTTCGGCTCGGAATATCAAATACCATCGCACAGTTTTTCTGCACTATATGTAGCGATTGTGTGTTAAATAATTCAAATGATAGTTAGAAAATAAACGTCATGAGCATAGTCGAATGTGTGCAGAAAATTATATTGGCGTTCCTATTGTTCGCCATATCGAAATCGCCGTCGGCAACACAGAATTCTATCATTTCAGGTAAATATGACTTACGATTTGTTATTCCAATAGGTATTATAGAGTAATCTTTTCATTCTAGAAGTAATATTTCGAATAAGATATTTTTTTTACAATATTTTATATTTAAATTAATTTTATGTTAGACAACGATAAATTATTATTAACGTCACATTATACTCAGAATGCTTTGTAGCCGCTATAAGAGTGATTTTAGTAAAGACTAGCAGTTCCCCTGCGACTTATTCCGCATGAAATTGCATTAATTTTACTTTATTGTTGACATTTGTTAAATTATCAACAGCAAATGTCAAAATGACATGACATGACAAACCTTGGTAATCTTATTTCCTTGGTGTTGGCAGCAACTTATGGTCTCTTTCCCACATTAGGGTTTTTATCCAAAATATTTAACCCCAAGTTGAATGGCGTTAAAATATATAGCCTAAAGCATGACGCAAGTGTAGGGCTTTTTATTACAAAAAGGATTTTTCAGAAATATGCTATAATTGCTGAGATCTTAGGCAACAAAGAAGTGTGTGTTTACGCTTTATTATAATAGTATAGATTTCTTATACATGGCAAGAGTTTTTTGTTTACATATTGAAGTATTTTTAGTCACAGACTTTTATAAAAGTTATGAAAACGTGTCAGTACTATAATTAGTTACTTTGTTTTACTAATGGTTCATTTAATTAATGCGCACGACGGACATAACGGAGTTTTGTTATGTGAATAAAAATACTGTTTCATCCATCTTTCTTTATTTAGTTTTTCGCATCCGCATAAATTGTAGCTTGCAATTCTTTTATCTTCGATTATTTAATTATACCTTTTCTTTTAAAAATTCCCTATTTTTCTTTTTAATTTAAATGACTTTCATTTATTCTAAGGTAAAAAAATGACGTGATGTTTCCGGTTCACTTATATAATCTGTCAAAGATTGTGAAATCCCCAAAGAAAAATAATTCATTTCTGGATCCTTTAAATTCTGACGTTTATGTAAGCGTTTGTGATAAAAAAAATCTTTCTTTAGAATTAAATATTTCTACACTTTAGGATTTTGTTCGGATCGAGGCTATTCGGAAAATTCATACTAATATTATAAATGCGAAAGTTTGAATGGATGGGAGTTTCTACATATGGTAAAGTCGCGACGTCATCTATTGATGAGTAGCGGAATGTCCATGGAATAGTCAAGCTATTTCCATAAAGTTGTATCGCAACGCCATCTGTTGGCGAGCGGCAGAAAGTTTGCGTAAGATGTCTAGAATGTTCGAAGTGGCATCGATAATGTTCCATTGGAAAACGTGTGTGATTCGAACAATAAAGAATGTTCTGGAACAAAATGACAAAATAATAAAGAAAAGAAGATCGAAATTCGAGCTATATAAGGTGTGCCAGACTTATCCGAGTAGTTTTAAGTAGAAAGTGAAAGGTGAAGATGTCCTAAGTATATTTCGTATAAGATAAAGTGACCGTAAAGTGAAAGTGCTAGTGTTCTAGTGTTAGTGGTGTTTTGTGAAATGCTCAGTGCTACGGACTCTGTGTCTGTGTCGTGTCATTAACGGATAATTGTGACAGTGAAGTAATCCCTGTTACTGTAAGTCGCGAATAAATTGAAAAAGTACAATTAAAGTTTTTAACTCTATCGCGCGTAATATCTTCTATACGTATTACTAGTTCTCAATTAACTTTTGCACAGGTTAGAACACAGTCTGGAAAACACATGGGCTACTAAGTTTTTATTTAATTTAAAGTATAAAACAAAGTATTAAGAGAAAATACTTTTATTTGAATATAACAACAGATTCAAAAAAGTCGCCATAACTTAAATATTATTCATAAAGTTCTTCAAGTTAAAGACACGTTCGTAAAAAAGGGATAAAAGTATCCTACAAACGCCATACGAATGGCACTATAACATGGGAAAGAACTAACATGCTCTGAATTCTAAATGAACTGAATAAAGCATCATGTTTGACTTTGCGAGGCCAGTAGTCACGAAACTTTTATTGTACGCCTCAGTAAATACTTTACGACTTAAACTGATAAAATACGTTGTAAATTGAATATTTAATGATTTGACGGCTTCAAAATTCATACCTGTGTTTCAGATATATCTACATATACGAGTATACTAATATTATAAAGAGGAAAACTTTGTTTGTAATGAAATAACTCAAAAACTACTCGGCTGATGTCAAAAATTCTTTCACCATTAAAAAGCTACGTTGTCAGTTCTTTCACCATTAAAAGCTATGTTACTCACAAAGGCTATGTTTTATATTATTTTTTAATTTCGCGCGGACGTAGTCGCGGGCGAAAGCTACTATCAAGTAAAATAACTTTAGACAGTTAATAAAAAAAATATTCGTCATATCTTCATACGGGTCTCAAAGCTCTTTTGATTTAATATTTAATAGAAATTATAACTACCTTATATCTTTAGACCGGGCGCACAACTGTTGTGCGAATGTCGATTGTTTGACAGACAGTTCAACTGTTTACTTGTACAACTAAAAATCGAGCAGTGATCGTGATTCCTATGAGTATGGACCTTTATGTCAGCTTAAAGAAAACACGACTAAACAGATGTGCAATAGTTTAGTCTATGGTATGCGCGCGCTCTTACTGTTACAGAAGATTTTTAAAAAATAAGATAAAGATAGTATTATCAAAACAAACCGTAATTCAGTAAGCAAATTTAGAATCGCTGCAACTTCATAAAATTAATTTATTGGTCTTATAAATGATACTGGAAGTATAGAGTACGTTCTATTCAATGATAACACGAGGCTTTATTTCGAATATGTTGCGGTTTATAAGGATTTTGATGGCGGTCGTCTATAGCTAGACAAATGAACTCCACGAATAACTATGGAGGGTCAAATCGGAAACCTTGTACGCACCCTCGGGGATAATTCGAAGGATCTCTCAAGTGCCGAGATTGGTATTTTATATATTCACCACCTTATCTTTGTTATTCGCCTTGCCTTTATGAAACGATACTATAGAATCTTAGAATATTTATGTAACGTATTGTACGAAAGCCCCTTTTGGTTTGCCTTGTTATCTATAAAGGGTTAGCTTAAATTTATGGAAACGATTTTTGCAACAATATTTGCAAATACGTATGTATGTAAATCTACCTATTTAAATAAACAAAAAACAATGTATATTTTTCCCTAGGTATTCTTAAAGTCATAGATTTAGATTGATGTCAAAGATTTTGAGAATTCATTAAAATAATTCTTTGCACATATTTAATGGTTTTGCAATCGTCTTACTTTTCTAAAATATTCACCTTTGATAGTACTTTAATTATTATTTTGATGGTACAAAATACCCGCAACAAGGCGGGGCTTTTACTAATGAATCATAATTTCCCATTTCCGCTAAGTAGGGAAAAAACGTCACGACATTTTTGATAAATGCTTTAAACTTTACTATAGAAATAGGTATTGAAATCTTTTGTACTGGTGTATATTAGCTAAGTTTTTATGTTATTTTTACTTGTCAAATAATTGAAAACTTAATGATTAAATAGATAAATAAAATAAAACTACTAATTTAACACGTATTTATCACTCGTTTTTCCAACGATTTCGTCCGTTCTTCCAGACTATGTTCCGCAGATATGACACATTTCTTCGAGTGAGAGTGACTTCTGGAGATACATAGTATCAAGCATTCATCCATCTAAACTTTCTCATGTATAACATTAGTAAGATTAAAATTCATCATCACCAGCTCACTATACGTCCCCACCAAGGGGCTCGGAGCCTACCCTAAGTTAGGGTGACCAGGCCATAGTCCACCACGATGGCCCAGTGCGGGTTGGTCGACTTCAAACATATATTTGTATTTCTTCGCCAATATGTGCAGGATGCATCAGTATGTTTTCGTGCACCGTAAGATCGTCGGGTAAATTATGTACATACGAAAATTCGAAAAATCGAAAATCACATTGTTACATGGCGGGATTCGAACCCAAGACTTGTAGATTACAAGTCAAGTGCTTAAACCACTGAGCCACCGTCGCGACGCTCAAAAAAAGATTAAAATCACTTTACATTTAATTTTACTAGTATTACCACATTAAATGCTATAATTTATTTTATACTATTTTTTAAGTCTACATACATACGTCCGTGAATTAATTCCTGCAAGGGAAAATCAGCCGCTGACAAGAGCGTCGGCCTCCTTACCCTGTAATAAATCTCTGTGAACTAGATAAGGAGAATCTAAGGCCTTCGCGGTGTACATACTAAAGAGACCGTATTCTTTAAACTGTTAGGTAATGTTTATTTATAACGGCCGAAGTAAATGTAGGAAATTTACCTTCTGTATATTTGGAAATCAATGCGTAATATAGAAAAACATTTGTTATAATAATCCTTAACTTAAACTTGTCGCTAGGATTCTCACAATATGTAGTATTCTTCCATACATCTTTATCAGTCTTCATATTTGAATTCACACCCTTCTTAAATATATCATTACCACAATCTTGGATGGATTACTTACTTCGGTCTTCCCTTACCTTTGTAGTCATCCACATTTAATCTCAATACTTCTTTGTTCATGTGTCACTCCGCATATGTTCATACCACGTAAGCATTTCAATGTTTTTGTTGTAATCAAACTATTCCAGGCCTTCCGAAAAGTCATGAATTACTTCTACTAATTCGTAGGTCAGTTATAATAGTTAGATTAATCGGTAGTACCCAAGGGATATTTATTTTTAAACAAGTGACATTCGGCGGCCTCTATTCTTGGTAACATAGAGAAAGTAGATTTTTTTTTATTCCAACAAGTTCACAATTGTGCTACAACAAAAAAGGTTGCGTAAGCCTCCCAAGGTTTCCTTTGTCATAAGAAGGCAACTGATAAACGCTCTACTTAATGGAAGGTGGCATAAAGACATTTTTCAACCTTAACGAAAAATAATGTTATACTGAGCTTAACAGTGTCGGTGAAAAGGTGCTTTATATTCAGTTTGTTTTGACGTTGAGTATATCTTATGATATTGCCTGTTGTGTTTCTGACAGTAATCTTCAAGAGGCTTACACTCTTAAATTCTTATTTCAGATGTTTCTTTCTGGGTTTACCCTTCGTATCACTTCACATAGAACTGCCTTTGTTGATTTTATTATTATAAATGTTACTTCATTGTTTCTGATTTAAAAACAATCAATTCTAATTATGAAAGGTTATGCTTTGTTGGTTACCTATCAATTATATCCTTAGTCAAATTGGAAAAGGTCTAATCATACTTCATACTAATTCGTATTACGTAATTTTTTAATGCGAAAGTTTAGATAGATTGATGGATCATACGGTCAAGCCGTTTTGATGAAATTTCGCACAGAATTATGATATATTCTAAAATAACATATAGGCTTTTTTTCATTTATGTCGACGAAGTTGCGGGCAAAAGTTAGTATAAACTTTAGCAAAAAAATGAAAAGAAATATTTTATTTGTGAATTTTAATGGTTCGCTTTTTAGACTGACGTTTATGAGATTTTAGCACTCACGGCCGTATTGCTTTTATAACCGAAATCCTTGCTTTGAATTGCATCTAAAATTTGGAAAAGAGCCAAAAGTGGGACAGAACTGGGGAATGGAAAAGCTGCTTTACGAAGTCTATTTGGCCGAAACATTGCAGATGAGCGACGATGCAAATCGACAATTCAAAGTAACGTATATCACTTGTATGCCTAAAAGTGGGATTTCAATCCCACTATGACACATTCACAAAGAAGCTTTCAGTCTAGGTATTTGGATATTGAAAATTTGTACTAGTTACGTATGTGTGGAGAATTGATTTGGTATTTCATTGGATAAGAACAGTTTAATTAGACTTATTAGATGACTACTTTGTGTTTGTTCTTGATGTAATTTGAGCTAGCTGTTGCTCGCGACTTTGCCCGCGTTAAAATATATAGCCTATGTCACTCACAGATGAATTACCTTTCTAACGGTGAAATAATTCTTGAAATTGGCCTAGTAGTTTTTGAGTTATTTCGAAACATACATAAATCTAAAAATACAAATATACAGATATAAAAAGTATAGATATTAGGAAGCCAGATAAGTTAAGTTCATATTTTCTTCTTTGACATAATTTTTCTTACTAATTGACTTTATCAATGGAACGCATGCCGGGCACGGGTAGTATTAAATAAAATTATTCTCATTTCTTTGCGACTGAAAGTACTTGAAATATACTCGCAAACAGAGTTTCCGGGTCAGTAATAAAAACCTCAAAACCACTATATTTGTTGAAATATCTACTCGAGTTCTGAAAAATACAACACAAACTTATAAAAAATTACACGTTTTTTTTAATTATTATTCTTTGAATTAAAAAGACTAGCTATTTCTCGCGACTTCGCCCGCTAACTTAAAGATAGTCAAATTATAGCCTTTGTTACTCAGTGATAACATATGTAGCTTTTAATGGTGCGAGAATTTTTGAAATCGGTCCAGAAGTTGTTGTGTTATTTTAATACATACAAATATCCAAAAATACAAATCTTTTTTCTGTATAATATTAGTATAGATGAAACATAAATGAACTGTGTTTTCTTCTGCAGAGTTTTAGTAATATTAATGTTAGGTTTTAACGGATGGACTAATCAACATTACCGTGCATTTACTTTTAAAGCTTAAAATTTCAGTACAGGCAGTCCTCGTAGTTACGGCATTTTAGGTTCTCAAAATACGCGACGTAAGTCGAGACACATTTTTTCATATGTTTACATGTAAAATTCAAGACTTAGGTTTCTTATGGTATCAAAAAAAACTTTATTTATAACAAAGGATACTTTATTATAAAAAGTTTTTAAAATAACTATATATGCACTTATGAAATAGCTATTTATTGTGTGTAATTAGGTATCTAAATATGTTATAGTAATAAAATAAATGAACATATAATACATTTTTGATGTCAATTATATAAAGTTTTTCTTAAGCCGTGATGATACACGTGTTAAGGCTAACAACTTTGTAACACGTTCCACGGTTTCGGCAGATAATGGGGCAACATTTCCGAAGAAACGTTATTGTAATGGCTACGTGATTGTAAGGGTCTGTAATATCACACCCAAATATCTAATAGCACGTGAGTGTTAATGATCATTGTAATTGTTGTTTAATCGTACTAATACTACTAAGTTTAGATGGATGGATGAATGGATGTTTGTTCGCGTTTGTAGCCTAAACGGCTGAACGGATCTCCATGAAATTTGGCACAGGTTTAGAGCGTAGTCTGGAAAAACACATAGGCTACTTTTTATCCCGGGAATAGTTATGGTTCTCGTGGGATTCATTAATTTAGTTTTTTTTAATTTTTACTCGATCATTTTGCAACGGTTCAACATATCTTATTGAAAATTTGGCACAGATATAAAACAAAGTCTGGAGTACACATGGGATAAGGTTCATCCTCGAGAAATGACCGGTTTTCGAGGGATACGTAGCTTTTTGTTATTTATATAGTTCGTATGTTTTCCAATAACACGCGGGCGAAGTCGCGGGCAACAGCTAGTTTATCAATATATTTTATGTAACGTTGATTTATTTACATAACTTTATTTAAGAGGGTTTAATTTCAAAATATTACAGAAAACATTGAGATAAAAGAGACTTGTAAATAACTGAATTTTGTCATTCCATAAAACATTTTGTTATTCCATAAAAACAATAAGTTTGTATACAGGGTGATTCTTAACGGACGGATCAACGGTTTTGTGGAGGTATAGGACCTCAATAGCTATAATTTAAACGAAGAGTATGTTGCCCGATTTTCTATAGTTTTGGAATTACTTACTTTTTTGTAAAAAAAATCGGAAAAATCAGATTTCCGACTTAAATTGGACCGTATGTCCAAAACAATGTGTTTACAGAAGTCATTTTTTTAACAAGCCTAATAGTTAGGTTTTCGTACCGTAATATAATAGCGATATTTTATATTGCTAGGTAGCGCGCTAACTCCGGTTGCGGGGACCGTGACGCGGGTGTCGTCGGTGGCGGGTGGCGATGCCGATCTGCCGTGCGACTCACGCCCGCCTTTGCACAATGACAGCCTCCTACTTGTCGTCTGGTATAGGGACGACAATCCTGTTTACAGGTAAGCTAATTTGCTGTTGTATAATTACGATGATTTAAATTCTTAATACTGTTGTGTATAAAATCACTGAGATCAACGCCATATTCACTCTGATACTCGTTATCGTACATTTAAAACTTAAAAGAAATAAGCTTTATTTAGTAGATAATTCTGTTTAATAGTCTATATTGTTTCATTTTTCTACGCAATTAAAGCGTATAATCATGGCAAGCGAAGATCCCTGTACTCATCATCCACTTGCCCTTATTTTTTACGGAGGTTCGGCACAGTATGTGCTGCTCTTCCATACATCTCTATCAGCCGTCATACGTAAAAACGCGAAGAATCCTGTACTGTCCCAAAATATTTACAGTTTTGTGGTGCACTTAAGACAATTAGATTTGGACTTTGAGACAGAAATTTCAGTTGATATGTAGATACTATTGTACAACTTATTGTTAACGTTGTCAGCGGGCCATCCTGATGTTATAAAAAAGACAAATTGTTTTTTTTTGTTTTTAGTATGTATTTGATTCATTCAAAATCATCTGGGCCAATTTTAAAAATTCCTTCACCATTAGAAACGTAATTTATCTGTGAGTAACATAGGGCGAAGTCGCTAGCAATAGCTAGTTAAATATAAAATTGTGCAATAACACTAACATCTCAAAATAAATGTTAAGTAATATCTCTGATATTATATTGACATTACTATGCAAGTCGTAAAGTCAAATAGAACTTTTTAAATATGTACGAGAGCGCCGACTTGCATATGAAACGTGAGGCAAGTTGTAAGCTTACACAACGGTTACCGGAGCATTATTAAAACGTTTTCAAAATACTTTGCCAACTCACTGTGGCTGTTTCTTTTTGCGTAATTTAATTTCAATGAACGTGTCATGAATGTTGTGTTTTGTTTTTCTATAATTCACTTGTTACACGAAAAGTGCAGTTGACTTAAGCCCGCTACACACTTTAAGTTTCATCTAAACAGTCGAATCTTTCAGATAAAACTACAAGTCTGTAGTGGGCTTAAAACTGTTTTATCAATTTTAAACTTGAATCAGAACCCAATATCTTATATAGCATTTTTCATGTATCCCTTGCATTCCCGTCGTTCCGTATATAAATAAGTAAAAAAAGATTTTATTTTCGCTTTGTAAAGTATTAAAACAATGTTGGATAGTGGAGAACAATGCAGGCAATATAATTCAACTATATTGCTCCGGCTCTTTGTGATAGTATCGGATAGATTTCACGATTCTTTTTAATGATTTCCTTGGAAATTTACTGCAATATCAACCGAGTTGACAAATAAAATAGTTTTAAACTCGATACCTCGAATATTTAGCATTTATTTTTGTTGTTTCACACTTCACACTAATATTATAAATGCGAAAGTTTAGATGGATGTATGGATGTTTGTTAGCGTTTGTAGCCTAAACCGCTAAACGGATTTCGATGAAATTTGGTATCGATGTAGAGGATTATCTGGAAGAACACATTGGCTACTCACTTCTGTTTTTTTTTAATTCCACGCCGACGGAGTCGCTGGCGAAAGCTAGTGTCAAAATAATACTTTTTATATTAAAAAAAATACTACTCACTTCGTATATGACGGTGGATGTTTGTCGTTTTAGGATTTATTACACCAATTTAGTTTTTTTTTAAAGGTGCTTTTTAACTCACCGGCACATTTTATGCTACGAGATGTTAGATTGTACGAGTTGTATAAAACACGACCTAGTTTTATCGTGTCGGACGAGTTTTAACATAAAATATTTTAGTTTAGCTCCACTCTAGGCAGCACAACCGATATTGCGAAAAATTCAATACGTTTGACTTGATGCTTTATTGCGTAAAGCAGTAAAATAAATATTACAAATATTGAATTGGAAAAAACATATGAGAAATTTGTCAATATGTGAGTCTATTTTCATGTACCGGATGAGGACTAAACAACCTTGAATTCGAAAATTATTATTCCAATGTAAATGTAAAAATTTGCCTCGATTGAGTACCGAAAACTACAATTTATTACGTTCTCATATCTACGCAATGACGATGCAGGTTTACAAAGATTCCAGTAAAATCACTTATTATGTTATAGCCTGAATTGATCAATTTGATTAAAATGATTGCTAAGGTTTAAAGTCCTATTAACAATCGAAGATAATTTTTTTTAGAGACTGAACGAAAGTAGTTATAAGTTTCATAAAAAATCGGTAAAATAATTTTCGAATTGGTATCAAGGATAATTTTGATATTATGTTTGAATAGTTACGACACGCGTGTGCAAGGGCCCACTGCTCATTGGACGGATGACGCGTTCGCGGAGCGATCCCGCTGGCTCGGCATGCCGCACTCTTCGCTGCGACTGCGCAACGTGCAGGCTCGCGACCGCGCCATCTACAGGTGTCGGGTTGACTTCCAAGTCTCCCCTACGAGAAATTATAGAATCGCTCTCGATGTTATTGGTAAGTATATAACTGTGATCATGTATAACTTTGTAAGTAAATTCTATTCAATTAGATCGCAGACTTTAAAAAATGTGACTTCTACAGTTGGTATTAAAATATATTCCTATGAGCCCGACTTTCAACCAAGCAATTGAAAACGGCGTTAAGTAGGCGTAACATTATGTTAAATTCTCCTATCATTCTCACAATCTGCACTTACCCGCTCGCAAAACAATAAACTGGCGGTAGATGTTCATTTTGGTAAGCGATATCAGGATTGCAGCGTAACGAGGCCCGCGATCGGCGCTATCCCCTGCTGAATACTCATATCATCAAACCTTTTGTTTTGTGCCAACGAAAACATTTTCATTTCCCTCGTATTCTATGGTTGAAAGCCGTTCTCGGTTTGTTTATCCCCAATTTGAGGGTATTGAAGCGCGTGACGGGCCGTGTTCTATTTGCCGTATCGGTTTAATGGTGAATAGATATTGAATACAAAAGATATTCCAGTTAAATATTGGCTCTTACAATTTCTCTGCAATTTTTAAGATTCTTACAATCCGTTTACATGTCTTTAATACTTTAAGAACGTTGTTAATTTTCTTCATAAATATTATTTTCACTAATTGGTATATTGAAAACAATAATTTCTTGAATTACAATGACTTCACTTGTTTGACCTTGAACATTCTTGGGTAGATATTTTTCAAATTAAATGTTTCCAGGAAGTACTGACTTTGAGTACCTCATCATTCAAATTACTCAGATATGTTTAATGTGTTTTTTTTTATTAGAACTCCCGAACAAACCGGTGATCTTCGATGAGTACGGCAACGAAGTGTCCGGAGTTGCAGGGCCTTATTATGAGGGCACAGATTTCAAATTAATATGCTCAGTAAGTGGAGGTGAGTGTAATAGTTATAAGTTAAAACATCAGAAATTAGTACATGAATAATATCTATTTTTGTAATGTTTATTGAACCGTTTTCTTTGAAATACATCCAATATTGTTCGATTTTTAGCAATATTGATATTTAATTTACTTGTTTGTTTTTCCTTTGATTCTCATAAAAGTTTCATGAAGACGACGTTTTCCTTTTCAAAATATCCAACTTTCCTATCTTACATTTATGTTTGTTGTAACGAAATCTCAAAGTTAATCAAATGTCGAGATATTTATGAATAAATCAATTGGCTACTCAATTTACGATGTAATATAAAACTTTTTCGGGCAAGATCTACGTCGTAAAATGACGTGAAAAATTAGATTAAGAAAAATATACTTCCTCCGGTATTAAAAATAATAATCTCATAAATTAATTTGTATCTAATATCATAATTTTGTTTCATATATGCTTATAGGAATCAATGTGCATGCTGCAACAGATGTTTATGAAAATTTGCATAATTACTATGCCACATATGTTCGTTCTTTTAGTTATTTATAATGTTATTTTTATATTTATTTCCTTACTAGCTGTTCCCATGCGACTTCATCCGCATGATACTATGAAAATTTTATTTTATTGATTACATCTGTCAAATTATCAATTACAAATGTCAAAATGACATGACATGATGACACCCAAAAATTGTTTCCTTGATATTGGCAACAACTTATGGTCTCATTCCCACATTAGAGTTTTAGTCCAAAATATTTACCACCTAAGTTCAATGGCGTAAAAAATGTTGCCTAAAGCGTGACGCAAGTGTAGGGCTTTTTTTTCTACTATTGCAGACATCTTTGGCAACAAAGAAGTGTGTGTTTACGGTTTATTATAATAGTATAGATTTTAATAGAGACCTACAAAAATAAAACAGAACTTATAAAAATCTTCAAGAACTGTTATATCGTTCCTTGAAAAAAATGAAGTAAAACGCAACATTACTGTTTCCTATTTCGACGTTCTTCCTGTTGCTTGTAGAACTTATTTGGAGAAAGTCATACTTTTGTACCGTACTCAATAGTAAGTAGTACTTGAAGGCACTTAACACCGACATTCCGTGTACGGCTTCGTGTAACATTATCAGGGATTATCATAGTGTTACAGCATTGTAATTATTGTGTTTATGTTCACTGTTCTAAGTTTTGTATTTGTTACTTTCAAAGAAATTAATAATGTTTTTATTTTAAAACTTAACTTAGACTACAGCTTTTTATTATTTTATTACGTTGAGTTAATTTAGTTAACCTTAGGTTAAGTAGAATTGTAAACTTAGCTTAAGATTATCTTATTTTTCTATGAATAAATAACGAAATTTTTATTTTTATTGTAACATTTTAAGTAGTAATTTATTTAATAGTTTTCATTAGAAACATTATTTGCATAAAGTATATTTTTAAAATAAAAAATAGGTATTACATTTAAAATGTGATTTGCAAAGTACAAGACCAACGTGTAACACGATGCTAAATTTAACGCCATGTTACCCTTTTGTCTATAAACTTTCTAATGTAATCCATTTGGACTGAAACAGGTAATCCAATTCCGCGAGTGCAGTGGCTTCAGGGCGATACTGTGCTCGCGACGCTAGGTGTCGGCGAAATTCAGCTCGGCCCCACGAGGTCATTGAACCTGCTAATAAGGAATGCATCGCGATCGCATTTCACAACCGTTTATACTTGTACTGCAGACAACACTTTGTTGGCACCGCCTCAACGGTCTACCGTCCGGGTGGATCTATACTGTAAGTGAATTACAAATTATTTTATTACTATGGCAAATTTTCTGTCACTTTATACGACAATCTTTTTAAACTTTAGTCGAACTGAATTCAAATTATACAAGAGTAAAGTGTTCTCAAATATATAAACAATGATTTTGAGATAAGTTTACAGTCATACATATTGTCAAATATATCAAATTAATCATAAGTTTTTATAACGTATCAACTTATTAATTGCTGTACATTATAAGATACTAGCTTTCTCCCGCTACTCCGTTCGCGTGAGTTTAAAAAATAATGAGTAGCCTATGAGTTCTTCCAGACTATCCGCTAAATCTACGAATATGCCAAATTTTATTGAAATCCGCTCAGCCGTTTAGGTTACAAACTCTAACAAACATCCATCCATACATCTAAACTTTCACATTATTTATGATATTAGTAAGATTCAAAGTAAATCTTAATAATATACGTAAGTGTTATTGAAAACTAATTCCCATATTGACTTAGTAATTGATACCTATAATAATTTCCGATAAAGGTATAATTTATAGGAATTGTAGGAGCTTACGTTTTATGTTACTTTCAATCGAATTATTTCCGTCAAAGTAATGAATTTAAAATTGCCTTACGTGTCATATGGCGTCATATGGCCTCATTCCAAATGTGTCACGGACGTTCTATAACATTACTTTGGTCACTGCCCGAGTTTAATTACATGAAGATTACAAAAAAATGTACCGTAACGTGAAATTAAGTAATTGAACATAGTTACAGGGAAATTGAAAATAATATATTCGTAAAACGTAATTGTTGTTTGTTATACGTTATTCCCTACAATAACTTTTTAAATTATATAGTTAGAAATCATATACGAGTAGTAAATGATGCGATGACCTTAGACATATGTATTTAAGAGATTTACAGAATACTATAATGTAACAATGATGACCTTTTTCCCATTCTTTCATCCCGATGATTTTTAGGTTACAGAAGTTTCCAGAAAGTAGTAAAATATGTTGTAAAAGTTTTTGTACTCTTTTAATTATGCTTCATCTTAATTTTGAAAGATTTGATAATAACGTTTTCTAACAGTACGACCTCTAACGGTGGAAATATTATCAAGAGAACAACCATTATCAGTGGGAAGGAAAGCAGATTTGTGGTGCAAGTCGACGGGAGCTCGCCCGCCAGCGACAATGACATGGTGGCTAAGCGGGAAAAAACTTAATACAGAAACAAAACAGCAGGTGCAATTTATATTTATTTTAAATTTTAACTTAGTAAATACAAAATAATGTGCCATTGTAAAACAAATGCATTGTTTAATTTTGTTTCGACAATCGCCAAAGGTCTAACAAAAACATTTATTCAATATACAGAAGAGTCATTTTCGTGTAATCATCACTAACCCTATCTACAGATTTAATTGTAATTAAATTAATTGCCAATAGGTGGCATAAAATAATGTTCAAATGTTTATATTTTATTTTATAACAAAAGATGGAGCTTGTTGTAATTTGTAAAATATTTTATTACAAGGTGGTGGCACATAACTTTACAATAAGTTACCTTTCAGAGAAAGTACCGGCGAAAAATTTATGTTCACTGCCTCGTCTATTTATTCTTTTAAAGTCTTTGTTCTTTGAAGTACAAAGTATCAGTTCATTTCTTTTTTTAAAAAGTCAGTGGAAATGTTTTGCATCTATCTTCCTACGTTGAGTTATCATCTGGCACCGGCCTGAGTAATTTCGCGCGTAATCTTTGCGCCCTCCTCCCCCGCACCCTCCCCCCTATCCCCTATAGATTGCCGTCATCAACGCTTCCCTGCGTGCATCCATTAATTTCCTGCTAGATTGAATGGCAAAGCTCTATCTTGTGGAATGTCCCTCATTCAATACGACTGTCGATTTCTATATTAAAGTTTTTAATTATTAGACTTTAATGAGAAAAAAATCAACCGACTTTTATAAGCTGTTGCTCGCGACTTCGTTCGCGTGTAATTAAAAAATCTAAAAGATATAGGCTATGTTACTCACAGATAAGTTACCTTTCTATCTTTGAAATAATGTTTTAAATCGGCCCAGTAGCTTTTGACTTATTTCAATACATACAAATCAATCTTTTCTTTTTATAATATTAGCATAGATATCGATATAATGCGTTTTTCCAACAAATTTGTCAGTATGAACTTAGCGAGGATTTTTTGTGTTTATTTATCTACATTTTGATGTTTCAAGTTCTTGTCTATAGTGACATTATAAAGAGGAAAGATTTGTATTTTTGTACGTATTGAAATAACTAAAGAACTACTGGGCTGATTTTAAAAATTCTTTCACCGTTAGACAGGTAATTTATCTGAGTAACATAGGATGTTTTTTTTATTTTGACGCGGACGAAGCCGCGAGCAACAACTAGTATTTAATGAAAAAAGTCTAACAGATATCGTATAAAAAGATGACGATGGAGGAAGGTAATGAGACACAATCGCTACTGCAATGGACGCCTCAGAAAGAGCACAATGGACAAGTACTTGCGTGCAGAGCTGAGCATACGAAGTTTAACCAATCCACTATTGAAAGCAGATTGACGTTAAACATATACTGTGAGTACAACTGTCTTTATGAGTATCCATATTTTTTTTTATAGGGTCTATAGTTCCTTAGAATATGTCAGTCCCGTAATATTATAAAAAATATTAAAACACTTATAAAAATACTTAATGTTATAAATAAAAACAAAATTACAAAAAAGAAAAGTAATAAAAAGTAAAAAAGTAAGGCCTATAGCGTGGTATGGACATGTTATGCGACGAGACAATGGGGACATAAACCTGAAAGTGTTAAGAATGAATGTGGATGGCTACAAAGGCAGAGGAAAACCGAAGAAAGTATGGATGGATTGTGTTAAAGAGGATATGCTTAAGAAAGGAGTGAATTCAGATATGACGGCTGATAGAGATGTATGGAAGAGCAGCACATACTGTGCCGATCCTCCATAAGGGAGCAGGGCACGTTGATGATGACAGTAAAGCCTTTAGCGCCATCGACATTTTGAGTATCAAAAAAATCACAATATTTATGTTAAAGGTATTAAGTTGCCTCAGTCTAGACATTTACATGACGAATTAGTAATTTAAATAAACGTTGAATAATTTAATTTAATTTAATTAACAGTGGGAATGCTCAAACGTATTTTGTTTCTTGAAATTATCTAATTTACAGTGAACGTTCTCGTGTTCTACCTTTTAAATTGTATATTTAGAGGCGTAGATAATTTATTTTCTATTTTACTTCGAATCATTTGATAATTAACCCTTAATCTGACGAAGTTTTAAGCAAAAAAATTATTGTTATTAGTATTTACATTTGAGGATATAAAATATAAATGTGATTTAATGAAATATATTATACTTAATTTGTTGTTAGCATTGTACATTATCGATATATAGGTTTATATTGTTGTTAATCTAAATACAATTATATTTAGCAATATGTTCTACTTGAAGTTGGAGAGAAATTAGTTTTAGTGTTAGTATTTTCCAATCAATATCTGTCTTATTTAGATGTTCCAATCGCGAGAATGCACCTCGGCTCCAAGATGAATCCGAACGACATCGAGGAAGGCGATGATGTTTACTTTGAATGTGAGGTCGACGCGAACCCGCCTGCTTATAAAGTTGTATGGGAACACAATGTAAGTATATTATACTTCATACTAATATTATAAATGCGGAAGTTAAGATTGATCGATCTAACAAACGTAAGAGTTTGTACCCTAAACGGCCGGATTTTGAGAAATTAGGTATAGACGTAGAGGGTAGTCTTGAAGAACACATAGACCTTTAATTTTTTTAATTCCACGCGGATCAGTCGCAGGCGAAAGCTAGTTATATCATAAATTCGAAAGTTTAGATGGATGAATGAAGATGTAAGAGTTTATAGCCTAAACGTCTGAATTTTGATGAAATTTGGTATAGATGTAGAGGACAGTCTGGATGAAAACATAGGATAATTTGTTTTTCTTTTTAATTCCACGCGAACCGAGTCGCGGGCCTATATCTATACTGTTAAAATAAATATCGATACTGCGCTGCATGATTGGCGCAACACTAGATTGACATTTTCGTCCCGTCCCTATCTGACAGCTGTCAATGTCATTCAGATGTATCAGAATAGCGCGCCATTCTAAGAGGCAGCAGCCTGTGTGTTTAAGTTAATTATATTGTTATATATTATTTGCCCAAAAATACTTAATATAATAAAGCGTAAACACACGCTACTTCATGGCGTAGGATGTTAGCAATCACATTATACTTTTGAATAATGCTTTTTTAATAAAAAGCCCTACACCTACGTCACGCTTTAGGCTATACATTTTCTTGGAAATATTTTGGATAAAAACCCTAATGTGGGTAAGACACCATAAGTTGCTGCCAACATCAAGGAAGCAAGGTTGCCATGCTTTGTCATTATGTCATGTCATTTTGACTTTGAAATTCATAATTTGACAAATGTAAACAATAAAATAAAGTTTTTTTTTATAATTTTATGCGTATGACGCCGCACGGGAACATCTCTTATATTTTTTATTACTATCTCATGAATCGATAGTTTAAATAACCTAGTTCAGTTATAATAAACTCTCTATTCACATCTATGTTAATAGTTGATGAACAATTCATAACTCTGTGTAATTAGTATTTAATAATTAATTGTGCTGGTACATTTGATATATTGTACACGTTTATTATAAACATACGATTGTATTGTATGAAGTTTTTATTTAAAGGTTAAAGCTTTCATAGTTTGGTTGATTATTAACATTATCTTACTTAAAACATTATTATAGAAAAAGCGTGTATATATATATACTGATGTTATATAGATACAATAACGACTGGTTCGATTTCAAAGATATTTCCAGCATCGAAAAGCTACGTACAAACTGAGTAACGTAGGCTGCATTTTTACTTTTTTGAAATCCACTCGGACGAAGTCGTGGGCAACAGCTGGTATAGAATATAAGGATAGATTTTTATAATATCAAAGATATTATATGTTGTTAATTTACTAATAATTCCTTCAACCATTCCGACTAAGCTCGAGGCTTATGATAGGATATGGTTCACGACAATAGTCAATGTTGAGATTCGAAGCCTCGACCGCAAGATCGGTAGTCCATACCCCAAGCCATTAGGCTAATAACCCTTAATAGTGATTAAAAATCAGAATAATGCAAGTATTACTTTCTTCTATTCAAACGAAAGCGCTATTGATGTGTTTCTATCCACAGGGTGTTTTATTACAAAATAACCCTCCCAATGGAGTGATATTGACTGGCAATACGAATTTAGCGTTACGTAACGTGTCTCGACATCAGGCGGGGAAGTACACGTGCACCGCATCTAATGTAGAAGGCGACGGAAAGTCACCGCCTTTGCAACTACAAGTTGTTTGTAAGTATGAATATTCCATTTGGTGTATTAGAGTGTCTTTTGTTTAAAATCGTTTTTTTTTGTTTTATGTTTTATGCCTGTTTAGTAACATTAATATGAGATATTAAAAAAATGTTAGATTGAAAAAAGTGTTAACATTTTAAAATTAGAATGTACAAAAACGATAGAATTAAAATTGCATGTGAAATATGCATTTATTAAAATAGAATATAAGTATTTGTCGGCTATCAAAATTTGTAAGGAATCATTATAATCTTTTTTTTTGTGTTTTTATGGCTTTTTAATTGAATTTATCAATTCATTGGAAATGTCTATTCACCTAAAAGGGTAGGATAGTTCCAGGTACAGACTTATTCTATGATCTGAAAATAACGACAGTTAATAAATTGTAATATAAAGATATACGAAACTTTTAAAATCAGCGTTACAAGATATACTGCTAGATGTTTAATAATACAAAGGAATTTATTATAGACTAATATGTTCTTAGCCTACGTAAAACTTATATTCCTTACCTTAAAAACATAAATTTACAATCTTTAAAAACATCTGTGTTTTATACAGAAGGATACTGTCTTAAGTAAATTATCCTATTACAAGATGAAGCAAATCGCTGAATAAGAATGCTCGAGACAACAAAATAAAGGGAACATGCTGTGTTTAGTAATGTCTGATTTTAAAATTGAATCAATTCTACCCCAAGAAGAATTGTTTCATGTTTTGTTTTAAAGCCAGTGAGAACAAAACATTCTTTAATCTTATGCTTTTTCTAATATTGAAGAAAAGTTATTTATATTCTATTACTTACTTCCGCATTGACAAGGGTTTAGTGTAATAAATCCCTTGTACCCGACGAAGGTAAATTACCCAGTTTTGGTCCTTTTAGCGAATTCTTAAGAAAAGTTAACCGAGATAATGGGTAAAATTAAAGAAAATTAAATTAAAGGAGAAAAACATCGATATGTTTTAGATTTTAAAAGATTAAATTAAACTTAATTAAGTTTAAAACGTAAAAAAAAGTTTAAACTAAATTAATCTTAAATAAGTTCCCATATTTTTTTATATCATTTGAAGCGTTATACAATTTATGTATTATATTTATTTGTCTTATATATAACTTGCGTTCAAAGAAGCCTTTTGACTATTGGATTTTTATTATGTTGATTGTAGATTACATTTGGAAGAATGTCATTGATATAACAATGAATCTTACTTCTTACTAATAACATAAATGTAAATCTTTATGGATGGATGTTTGTTAGACTTTGTAGCTCAGCTGAACGGATTTTGATGAAATTTGGCATTGCTGTAGAGCATAGATTGGAAGAACAATAGGCTACTCACTTTTGTTTTTGTTAATACTACGCGGACGGAGCTGCGGGCGAAAGCTAGTATTCTAATAATATAAAAATAGGTGATTTTACATTGAAAATAATTTTACAATATAACTAAAACATTTTTTGTCCCAGACCGTCCCGTGTGCCGAAGGGGCGAGGTTAAATTGATCGGGGCTGCATTACAAGAGCCATCGAGCGTCGAATGCGAAGTAGACGCGTTTCCACCGCCCAATACTTTCGAGTGGACTCTCAACAACTCCGCGACCTCGATAAAGGTCGATCCTGTAAGTACCAGATAATATAAAATTTATTTTATACACAGACTAAAGTAAAGTAGTGAGCTAAATATAATTTTATTTTGCTATCTGACTTAAATACTCTTTGTTAATATATAATCTATCTTGTAAAGTATTTTTAAAAGTATGTCTAACTTGTTACTAAAATAAATGAGAAGGTTTAGCTTGATGGATAGACGTTTATTAGAATATAGAGCCTAAATGGATAATAAACGGATCTTGATAAAATTTTCCATAGATATAGAACATAGACTGGAAAAACACAGTTACAAATTATTTTTTATTTTAATTCCGCGCGGATGGAGTCGCGGGCGAAAGCTAGTATGAAAATTATTAATAAGTAATAGAAAGTGACGGTAAAATAATAACAACTTCATACTTAACGTCGTTTTTATTTCATTTGTACACTATGTTCCAATGTTTATGTAAAACTTCTATGTGTCAACTTTATGTGGCCTTCACAGTCGAATTTGTACCGAAGCGATGACAAATACTTTGTTGTGGTTGTGTACGAAAACGACCCTTTGAAGGTCTTTAGGGTTGGGAACACAATTAACTCCCCTCGATGGTACGCTTGATAAGTCATAGTTATCAAGTGGAATGAATATTTTTAGTATATAAAGAAATTAAAAAAGTGTATAGAGGAGGCATAGTTGACACTTATAAATTAAAAAACAAATCTCACTAACGCTATCTGTTGATAATATTGCTAATAGGTGTCATAAATATTTTTTTGTATTGTATTTTTGACGCCGTTTAGTTTATTTTATAACAAAAGATGGAGCTTAATATAATTTTGTAAAATATTTTATTACATTTCAATACATACACGAGGTACTAAACTTGACAATTGATAGTATCTTTCAGAGAATGTGCCGGTGAAAAATTTCACTACGCCTAGTCTATATATTTCTTAATTTCTACATCAAAATATGAAAGAATATATAAACTAACAAATGAAAATTTCCACCTAGGATCGGTTTTCAATCGACGCGTCCGCTGGAAAATCGATATTAACATATCTGCCGGTATCTGAAATCGATTACGGGACGCTGTCGTGTCGGGCGACTAACTTAGCGGGGCAGCAAGTTTCGCCGTGCGTGTACACACTGCTGCCGGCCACGCGCCCCGACCCGCCCGCCAACTGCACCGTGTACAACCTCACACACGACTCGTTGGATTTAATGTGCTTACCAGGTACGTACTGACGAATATAGGATAACTAATATAGAATCGAAGTGTTAGAGTTTCTTATAAGTTTTAAAAACATTTATGTAGGGTTGGGGCGATTAAATAAACAGTCTTCATATTTGATCACTTTTTTGTCATCATTTTTTTTCGTCTTTAACTAATAAATGATAAAATAAATGGAAACTTCAGAAACCCAGCAATAGTTGGTTAAAATTATGTAGAAAGAATGAAAGACTGGGTGAAAATGAAGGCGTTTACTATAAAAAAATTATACGCATCCAATTGTTTTAACAATTTTTTCAATCTACTCTTGTAACATTTTTAATAACAAGTTATAATATTACCATTGTTTCTTTTATAAATAGTATTATTTAATGCAGTTTAAATTTTTCTTTAATTTTAATTTTAAAAGAATTATACTAAAACAACATTCAGCGCCATCTGTGGGTCGCTTACTGACTAGTATTAATTTGTGATTGGTCAATTCAAATAGTTCCTATTATGCAAGCATAACTTTCTTGTTTCTAACACTGTTAAAAAATATCTATAAAATGAATTTTAAATTATAACGTTTATGTCTGCGTTATAAATGTAAATTCCCCAGACATTTTCGTCCGTACAATATTGCCCTTATTACCAAACATTCTAATTTAGTGTCTGGTCTCATTTGGCAATGGCCCAATTTAGAGGCTTTAACTATTTATGATTCTAAATTATCATCGAAATTGCCAGTACTCTGTTACATTACGAAATTTGTTGTTATCCTTTCAATGTTCTGGATAAATAACGGACGCAAGCGCTAAATGAGCACGAAATAAGTGTAAATTTCTATTACGAAACCAACCGAATTATTTATATTTAGTGGTGCAAATAAACTTGAATTTATTTTACAAATAATGATATATGTTATACGATTCTATAAATAACTAACTCCTTTGTGCTTTATTAAATAAAAGTTTTATGAATTAGTAAAAATTTTTAGGTTATGAAGGTGGTCTCCAATGTGTGTTTGTTGCTGAAGTGTGGGCAAATGAAGGTCTTGTAGTAAACGCAAGTAACGGAGCAGCCCTTTGGAATCTTAGAAGACTCGGAGCTAAGAGACAGTTAAAAATAATCGTGTACGCTGCTAACGCCAGAGGACGATCGGAACATGTCATTTTTACAGTAGAAACTGCACCCAGATTATCTCCAAGAACAGGTAAATTATCGCCATAATAATAACTAACTGCTGCTCGCGACTTCGCCCGCGTGAATATTTAAATAAAATTTTACTCACTGATAACGTAGCTATTTTTCACTATTGTGAAATAATTATTAAAATTAATAATTAATAACAATTATTAAAATTAATAATTATTAAAAAAATTGAGTTATTTCTAGTCATAAAAATACAAATTATTAAGTCATAATAAGATTGTCTGTAAATATAAATTCAATTGAAATACCCGTTTTCTTTAACCGACAGACAAAAGTTTTGTTGTTAAAGAAAGTTAAATATCTTTGTAAACTGACAGTTTCAGTCTACCGTTGGACAAAGATCTTTAATTTAGGAAATTACGAATTTAGCTTCAAATAAAAATTTTACGAATAGTTAAAAAAACAATGTCAAGAAAGGAAGGTATTAAATATCTTAAGACATTTGGCACAGAAGCACAAGAAGCGTGGGAGGTGAACTGGGCAGTGGGCGGCGTGCTGGGCGCGGCGTGCACGGTCGCCCTTATCTTGTGCTTAGCGCTACTCGCTACCAGATTACGTCACCGGTCGCGGGATTACGAAGGTATTTACGTTTTTAAATTATTACTAAAGAGATTCAAATATATATAGAGGTAGACATATTTAACTCACTTGAAATATTCACATGTCCATCTTACTAACCCTTCCTATTGATAGTTCCTAAAACCACATGTTAATAACCAATTGTATTTAAATTTATTACCAATATTTGAATGAAAAGATGGAGCTTATTTTGTAAAATGTTTAAATACAGGTCAATATAAGAACACGATGATTTAGTACCATTCAGAGAAAGTACCGGTGAAAAAATATTGTTTACT